GGGGGGGGGGGGTTTGCATTTTCGACCAACTGCAATTGTTTTGTTTTTTTCGTGCTGGGGCGGCAAAACATTTGGCCCACCCACGGTGACACTCACGGTAGCTACGTCAGTGTAAAGATGTGATATCCTCAGATCTCTCCCATTATTAATTTTCTTTTTTTTTCTTTTCTTTTAAACAAGGACCAACGCTATTTCTATTTAGAAAAATACTGTCGTATCATTTTTCTCCCTCGTGGTAACCAACAAAACACAAAACATCCTCCATACATCTAAGCATTCGTCTCGTTTCTCTCATATTTGCTGGGTATATTTCATGATTTCCTGACCTTGTACGCGGGCAGCTCCCCAGCATGCATCCGTGGAAAATGTAGTCTGGTCGCCATTGTTGAAGTCGAGGTTGGTGGTGAGGGGGGTGGGGGGGGTCTTATTTAACTTAGGCGATTCAATGAGGCCCGCGTTATTATTTTTTCGAGGTAGCCATCTCCCAGTCTCTGTTTAAGTTTGCCAGGAGGGAAAAAATCAAATCAAATATTTAAATTCAGCCGAAACCTGGGAGGAAAAAAAGAGGCGTGGCCCCCCCGGGCAGCGGCGTCCTTGGACTCTTGTTGGCGGGAACAATATTGGAGGCATCGGATTTCTCGTGTGCATGTCTCGAATTAGGGAGTCACCCTAAAAATAGAGCGGGGACGAGAAAGAAAGACAATTAAAAGTTGTGTGTGTGTGGTGTTTGGTCGGGAGACGCTTGGAGAAGGATGTCAACAGCGATGGCGGAGGGTCAACCGTTTAGCCAACAGACAGGCAGGTGTTGCAAAGCTCAGTGCTTCACAGGTGATCATAAATGCGCGACAGAACAAACTGCTCTTGGCTGCTGTGACGTAACCGCGATTGTTTGTCTTAATGTGCGGTGGCGTGTAGTATGATAAATCTCTTTTTATTGGAAGGGCAGCTGACATTCCTTTAACAACATAAAATGCTGGAAAAGATAACTTGACCTACTTATAGACCCGTGCCGCTCTGAGGGGTGGTCCGTGGACGAGCACCACACTGTTTGCCCCAACTCACTGGATTGCCAGATGGTTTGAGAGGCACCCTCCTCATCAATATCAACGCTTTTCCAGTAGCGGCAATTTTTTTTTCAGAATGAAGAATGCATGTACATATTAGTACATATTCTTTTCTTTACCGCCCAAAGGTGTTAGTGGAACAAAACCAGTAGGGTCATTGGGGTGGGTGGGGGAGGGTACAGTGCCGTCTTAAGGCATGGGCACACTGGGCCCTGGCTCAGGGCCTCAAACTTCTAGGGTGCCTCACGCTCTTAGGTGATTCACTCTTTTTAGAGGCATCATGCTGTGCTGCACATAGTGTTAATAAATATTGAAAGATTATGACTGTTTACCTTAATTTAAAAGTCTGTGGACAGCATGTTTCCCAATTTTAAACTACGATATTATCGGCACATACCAAAATTAATATTATAAATTATAACTATAACTGCCAATCACAAGTTAAGATACTCATTAAAGGTGAACAACTCTCGTCAACAAGTTTTACTTCTCCCGGATATGAATCGAAAAAAATAAAGGACGAATTTTTGTTTACAATCATGTTGAATTAACATTAAGGATGACCAATTAAATGAATGCAAGCATCTCAAGAACTACTTCCTCTTGATAAAAATTGGGACACTATCGCTGCGCTGTACCAAAAAATAATTACAGACAACTTGAGATCTGTATTTGCTAATTGCAAATCTTCATGTCAGTGAATGATGAGAACCAACTGTGCAGGGAACATTCATTTTCAAAATTGAAGCTCATAAAGAATCAGCTTCGCAGTACAATGGGACAGCAACATTTGAACTGGCTTTCACTCATGTGCATGGAAAATAACATCCTTAAGTCTTAAGACCATTGACTTTATACAATTCATAAACAAATTCTCTGCAAAAACATTACGCAAATGATTATGTTGAATGGTAACAAAAAATTTTCATTAGCTCATAGATGTGCCTGTCAATAAGCATAATTTATCACCTTCTGCAATTAATTATAGTTTATTTCTAATAATATTTTCAAACTATTACTGATTTTGAATGATTTTGTTTATGTATCAATAAATTGAATTAATCTTTGTTTAACTTTATTGAACATTTATTTTTATTTTACATCTTTATTCATGTTGGTGGGGGAGCAATAACTGTCCCCCCTGGGACGAGTGCCCCCTTCACACGACCCTGGTGGGTTACATTGTTAGGGTGCCCCAGTGCATTGTTTTGCCCCGGGCCTCCTGTGTTGTTCAGACGGACCTGGGAGGGTGCAGACCGCACACCAGCACATGGGGGTGACACCAAATAGCAATTTGACAGAGCTCAACATGACAAAAAGTCAGTTTTTATGAAACAAGAGGTATAAGAGATATTAAAAAAAAAAAAAAAAAAAAAGGGCAGACTGCCGCCAGAATGGTGAATCCCTACAGGAGGCGGCACTATAAGTTTTACCGCAATGGAGGAAACAGCACTAAGGTGTGCCGCAGAACAAAATACATGCAACAACTGATGTTTCCCTTTTTCATGAGAAAGTTGGCTTACATCTGTCTTAAAGAAAATGGTGTGGACTTTGCTACCCGCTTATTGTCCCCCATATCAGTTCAATCAAAATCTTCACAGCAGTGTTATTATAACATCAGTAAAATTAATTAATTTCATTGTTTAAAAAATATATAACAAAATACATAAAGATAAAATAAAGAACTTTTTTAATTTTTCTGGTTTAATACACGCTGTGAATGCAATCCAATGTATGCTGTGGAAAGTTAACATAACAGGTGATTTTTCTACTTATTGTCATAGATATTTATATAAAATAGAAAACAGCAGTTAACCAAACCACGTACAGTATGAAAGATTTTGTATTAAAAATAGCAATCACACTTCCTTTTTTTCCTCCCTTTTACTCTCCTTATAAATTTAATAATTATATTAAAGAAAATACTGCACTTCACTACATTAGTGTAAAGGCAGTTAAACACTTGAACTTTGTCCAGACATGCTAGAATTACTAGATAGTACACACACATTTTTGGGGGTTTACTCTAAAGTCGTCTTGCTTTCTTAGGTCTGTTCCCATTAAAAGCTAAACGTGTAGTATCTGTTATGGAGACTATATTTAAGCCAGACAACTGCAAAGCTTTAATAGCAGGCTGTTGAGGAAAGATACATACAAAAAATAAAGATATATTGCAAATATATTAACTGTTGAGAATACTTCACAACTGAATAGTTACATTGCAAATTCTTTCAAATTTAACAAAATCGCTTAAATTTAAATCATCTTAACCTGCAAAGAATGTGAGGGGAGCAAAGCCAACTTATTGCTGGAGGGGATGATTGGTTATTAAAATCTATGACAATTAAAAATCCAGCTCATTTTCATGTCAGAAATATAAAAAAAATTCTGCAATTATTTCCTGGGAGCTGAAAAAGGTTAAAACCAAAGCAATAAATTACACTCAACGGCAACTGAAGGAATGAAACACCCGTTGCCAAAGTTAAAAATACCAAATTTTTTGACTGACCAAAATTATCTTTCAGTTATAAAAAGAAAAGTTGATGCTTAAGAGCTGTGACCAATTTCCCATTCCTGTGAAGGAAATCAGAATGTGCACCTGATGTTGTGGATGATGTCTGTTTTCCCCTTCAAGAGAAACAGAAAACATTGTGAAAAAGATCAGCTCCAAACAGAAAACATTGTGAAAAAAAGATCAGCTCCAAACAGAAAACATTGTGAAAAGAAGATCAGCTCCAAACAGAAAACATTGTGAAAAGAAGATCAGCTCCAAATAGAAAACATTGTGAAAAGAAGATCAGCTCCACACTCAGCTGCTAAATTGCAGTATTAAATTTAGATTTCCCAAGATATGAAGTTTTAAGACGCAATTTTATGTAAAACAACAGTAGATTTTCACAACAAATTCAACGAGAATAAATTCATGTACTAGCAATGTGTTCTTAATTTAACATTTTTGTCATGCAGGCAGTTTTGCTAAGGTTTTTCTTTTAAAATTAATTTAAAGGAAATAATGGCGTAAACTTGTAAAAACATTCATGTAGATATTTTGTTGTTTGCAGCATATATTTTCCTTACTGGTTATTTTCTCTTATGGTGTACCATATATTTAGGCACGTATGACAGACTTAAGTGCGGTAAAGGTGCTGGAAATTATTTCATCACTTCTTGTCACATAAAATAAAATCAGTTTTGAATATGTAAGGAAAACACAGTGTTATCTTGTTTGTATTTGATTCTTAATCATATCTGCACGTCTGAGTAGCATTCAAGTAATGAAGAAAGATTTGCACAACCGCTCGCTCTCTCTCACACACACACAATTGTAAAGTCAAATGTATTTACCAGTCTTCCTGCTCCTATTCCTCGGACACAAACCCTTACAGTGTCCACATCTTTTCTCTTAGCATCCTGTAACAACAACAAAAAAACACAGGCAGTGCTGCTCTAATTAACCATTAAAAAAACTAAACTGTTAAAGAAGTAAGCTGTGTTCTTGGCTTGGGTAAATTGTAGGTGCTGCTTTAATTAACCATTCAAAAAACTAAACTGTTAAAGAAGTAAGCTGTGTTCTTGGCTTGGGTAAATTGTATTTTGTTTCACATTACACTCTGCTCTTTTTTAAAAAAAATTAGCAGGGAAAAAAATAAATAACCTTGTGAATAATACGATCACTCTTAAAAATAAAAGACACCAGCTGTTCAAGAAATCTACTTATCAAAGAGACTTACTTCTAGCTATCTCATTTACGAATCAATAAACCCATCAAAGAGAGGGGTTATTAAGCTACACACGGATATACCACATTTTGTTGCACTTAACTTCATTTCAACTTAAAATAGAATACTAATTTGCTGGATTGCAATATCCTACCTATACTAAGATATTCCTGCTAAATTTGCTGGATTATTATATCCTAACATGACTAAGATATTTCTGAAAAGATAATTTACGACTGTGCTATTGAGGATTTAATATTGCATTCAAGCTTGATCTCAGTTAATATCCCCTAACTAATGATGTCTCTTACGCTGGCCAGGGCGATTGCAGCAGCTTGGGCAGCAACATTTGTTCCTTTTTTGGCATTTGTGAAACCAACTGTACCCTGTGAGTGAAGAGAACGTTTTTTGTCACTGTTATTGGCAGAATGATTCTTGTTCTTAAAGGGTTACAACCTCAAGTATCCGGTAGTGTGGGATGCAATTACAATAAACAACACTATTGCCATTGTGTTAAAAGGTGACTGGCAGTGTATTCTTTAGAACTGTTTCAGTGGGTTGGATAATCTCTCAAAGACTCTATTTAAAGACTCCACCAAAGTATTCAGTGTTATTAGACAGGATCAAAGAAAGAAAAATCCCAAAAACTAGGATTAATTTAGCAGTAATCTGATGAAAAAGTGCTGTAGCCACTGCTCTTGAAAAATGAATTTACACAATTTAATAATTGTATTATTTATATTTTTCAAAAATTAAACCTGTGCCCCCATTATAAGAACTATGGGTGTTAATACAAGTGGAAGAAAGTGATAAAGCATTGCCCCAGCTACATCTTGAAGTAAATAAATAATTGAATAAGATATTGGCCCTACTACATGAAGTAAATAAATAATTGAACAAGATATTGGCCCCACTACATGAAGTAAATAAATAAGTGAATGAGATATTTGCCCTACTACTACTACATGAAGTAAATAAATAAGTGAACAAGATATTGGCCCTACTACATGAAGTAAATAAATAAGTGAACAAGATATTGGCCCTACTACTTAAAGTAAATAAATAATTGAACAAGATATTGGCCCTATTACATGAATGTAAACAAATAAGTGAACAAGATATTTGCCCCACTACATGAAGTAAATAAATAAGTGAACAAGATATTGCACCCGTAAATCTTGAAGTAAATAAATAATTGAACAAGATATTGGCCCTACTAGATGAAGTAAATAAATAAGTGAACAAGATATTGCACCCGTAAATCTTGAAGTAAATAAATAATTGAACAAGATATTGCCCCTTACTACTGTACTGATTTCAAGGTTTTCTTTTCACAATGGAAATTAAATTTCATTTAACTAGAGATGCTGGTAAAATATTTTTAAAATTTAAATTCATTGGTTTTGGCTGGTCAGAGAATGTTACTTAATAAAAACCAAATGAGATTTCATAGCATTTAAAAAAAAAAAATCCATAAATATACGTTCATTACTAAAATAAGTCAAATAAGTTTTATATTCTATTGTTCTTTCACATTTAATTTTCAAAGTTAGGACTTACAGCAGACTGGACAGCCAAAACAAGTCCTGAAATAAAGAGTATTTTGAATAAATTTATAGAAAAACATTTAGCAATCACATAAGAATAGGTATTAAAGAAATTTTTTATGTCTTAACATTCCAAACAACTTAAAATTACTTGAGTATTTTAAATAAATTTATAGAAAAACATTTAACAATCACTTAACAAAAGTTATTAAAGAAATTTTTATGTCTTAACATTCCAAACAACTTAAAATTACAAATGTAAAACCAAATAATAAAAGCTACAAAAATAATGAGAACAATTATTTTTGGAATAAAAAAATACTCAACAATCAGCTCAATCTTTCAAAATTACAAAATCTAATGTGCGGCTAGGTTAACTAAGCTAGTATTTTGTCATTACAATTTTTAAAATATAAAATAAAGCAGACTGTTACACTCAATGTTTTATATAAACTTACCATCAGCATTAGTAACTGATAGGATTGTATTGTTGCTGGTTGCCTTGATGTGAACAATTGGAATATCTGTGTATTTTATTCCATTGAAAGAACAAGAATGTGTCTCTAATGTGGGAAAAGATGTGGTCCTGTGGGGATGTTTAAAAGATTCATGTGAATTAGAAAAGGCAAGCTAAAAAAGTAAAAGATTTTTCTTTGAAAAAACAAGAAATTTGTTTTAACTATCTATTTTAAATAGTTTACAACAAACATTTTTTTTTAAATTTTGAGAGTGATATAAGAACATAGTCTTACCCATATGTTTTATCATATTCAAGAATAGGAGCATCTGGCGAGCCAGCTACATCTTTCTGGGAAACCAACTGTCGAATTGAGTCATTTAATTTATCGTAACGCTTATAGCCACCACATGCTGCGGGTGTCGTTGCTGCAAAATAGAAAATCATAGACATGGTCAGGGTTCCAAACTTCAAAGAGTGCTAGACATCCTTTGGAGTGGTTTACCTAGATTAAATGCCACCTGGGGAAAACTATAGAAATGCATCCTCGCTGATGAAGGCTTCTTCTTGTGGACATATTCGTTAGATAGCTTACTAGCTACGTTACTTTAAAAAAATTTAATTTGTTAACTATTAAAGCTTACATCAACAAAAAAGAGCTCATACTTTGTAATCAAATATAACAAAATATATGTCTGTATGTCAATTAGAACAAAATTATCGGACTTTTAGTGTCAGAATGTTTCTTTATTTTCCTAAAAACCCGTGACAGACAACTGCCAACACCTGAACTATAACTGTCACAACTTTTTCTCCATTTCTTTAAGATAAAAACCCCAAATGTTAGTATGTTTAATATGCATTTTGCTATAATATTTTCATAACTAGCTATTGCAATTAACTTTAAATCAAAGTCAATTTGTCCAGATCCACAATCATGTTTGCTTTGTGATTATGTTACTCATAAATTACAGCATAAACAATTATTTACATCATTTACTGACAGAGAAATGAGTTAACATGCGCGAAATTGATTAAATTAGGAAATAAGCAAGTAACTGCTGCAAAATTACACCAATAGGTCTCTTTATTACATTACAAATCATGTGAAGGAGATTCTTATCATGGATATAAAGGCTGTGAGGCATTTTGGAATTATGTTCGAAAGTACACCTGATATATCACACAGTGACCAGACATGTGAAAATCCACAATGGGAAAGTTGAAGGGAGAGAAGGGTTTCTTACATTTTTCCCTTTAAGTGGGGAAAAAACTGATGACCTCTGTTCTGAAATTCTTACAAATCTAAAACTTTATGGACAAGACATAATGATGTTCAGAGCTCAAGGTTACGATAAGTCTGCCACAATGTCTGGAATCCATGAAGGTATTGAGGCCATTCTGAAACGAAACATTTAAAAAAAGCCATTTTTATATGTGGGGGCCATTCACTTAACTTGTGCAGTCAACACTCTTTTGCAGAAAATGCTTCATGAATTACATTTTTCAGCACTCTTGAAAAAATATTTTCCTTCTTTGCTGCATCCACTCATCGATGGAATATTCTAACCGAACACACTGGAATGTCGTTGGATGGAATGTGCTCATCATGCTGCTGTTAAAACAGTGAAAGTTGAGTTTGATGAATGTGTGGCGGTGATTGAAGCTCTTGAAAATTTAGATACAAGAGGCAAGAGGTACAACAAAAGGTCTTTTACATGCTGTCTGATTTCACGTTCATCTGATACCTTTACCTTTGGGCTGATGTACTTGTGGAAGTTAATCTTACACAGCAGTATCTGCATACTAAAGGCTTTACTCTTGACAAAGTGGTGACAAACCCAGAGGCCTTAAGATTGTTTCTGCACGAGAAGCACTGTCACTTGGTGGAATATGCTATTGAAAAGTCACTTTTAAAATCAGACCGATATGGAATATCGATAAAGAGAAGATTTAGGTTGAAGAGGAGAATGGCAGGAGAACAATTAATAGATGCTGGACTCTTTCTGCGAGAAGAAAACTGTAGGGAGATGCTGGATTGTATTAATTGTTTTCATTCTGAACTCTAGATCAGATCATCAGCGACCAAGGAAGTAATAATAATAACAATAAAGTTTATTTGAAAAACACGCTTCATCCCTAAAAGCTCGAAGTGCGGTACAAAGTCAACCACATTATAAAGAGACATAAAAACAATCTAAAATTTACCACATTTAAAAAATAGACGCAACAATATAAAACTACATACGAGCATACCAAGTCAAAGTCTTTCATCCCGTTTCAACCATAAGCAACACAGCCAATATACATTAACTGAAAAAGATGGTAGATAGCATCACCCCAGAAAGTGTTTGCGAAATAGATGTGTTTTTAAATCGGTTTTAAAGGACTCCACTGTCTGGCTGTTTCTGAGAGCGACTGGAAGGGCGTTCCAAATTGTTGGGCCGGCAAATGCAAAAGTGCGCTTTCCCTAAGTCTCAAGGCGAACACGTGGTGTCGAGAGTTTGCCACTATTGGATGAGCTGAGCTCTCTAGTGGGTACATAAGGCGTCATGAGTGCTTTAAGATAAGATGGCGCCAGGTCATGTAAGCAGCGGTAGCACAAAGTTGCAATTTTGTACTCTATGTGAGCGCGGACTGGCAGCCAGTGCAGCTCTCTCAGAAGTGTTTTAGCATGGTGGAATTTGCGTTTGCGAAGAACAATGTGAGTCGCATTACTCTGTGCTCTTTGAATTTTATCCAGGAGCAAATATGTTTGGGGCTGTTCGAACCAAGAGTCTAGTATCAGCAAGTGAAGAAGAGTTATTGGTGTCCTTTCAAAATTAACCTCTTTTATGATGAGTTATCAGAAGATGAATTTTTAAAAGAAATACCAAGGCTTAGAAGACACCAAAAGGCAGCTGATATTGAATTTCAAAAATTCAAGGACTGGTCAGTATTTGATGTTTTGAAATTCATAGCTGAATGGGACTTCCTAGATTCTCTTCAAATTTCCAATGCTCTCGCTAAGCCTTTAATTTTTTCTTACGATATGTGTTTATGTGGCTTCATGTGCGCTGAGCTTTTCAAAACTAAGGCTTAACAAAAAATATTTATGATCCTCCATGGGACAGTCTAGGTTTTCTGATGCGGCTCTGCTGTTAATTGGAAGGGATACAGTGAAGGACATTGATTTTGATCAAGTGATTGAAGAGAAGGAGAGGAAAATTATAAATTAAGTAAATTGAATGTAAAAATAACTATAACTTATAGATTTTAAATACATTGACCTCAAGACCTTCGATTTAAGTTTTTTTTTTTATTCTTGTCATTGTTATACTGTGGATTTATTTTAACAGGAAGAAAACCATCATGCAAGGGGGGGGGGGGGATGGACACCATGAGAGTACTGCACCGGGTGACACCAACCCTAGCTACACCACTGGGCCTACACCCACAAACATTTTTATTGTAATTATATAATTATTTATGTAAATCAGGGGACAAAACAAGTCTGAAATTAACCAACTACACAAACTAAAATTAATAAAATCTTTTTAATACTTTGTTATTGTATTAATTTCTAACAATATGGTAAAACTGTTTCCCATTCATCAACTGATAAGAGCTATACAGATTTTTAAAGAGGAACAATAATGACTAATGAAAATATTTTTATATCTTTTTTAATTGATAATAAGTGCTATTTCCTACAACCCAATTTAAAAAAAAAAAAATTTTGTGAGGGGGATGAATGGTGATAATTGCAATTTTTATTTTCGTACACCTTCCAGATTTAAATGCATAATGCTTTGGGGAAATTGCTATTATTAACTAAATAAAGTTATTCCCTTTTGTCAGTGATACATCAGAGTACATTGGTTGCAGTCACAAAATCCACCATGCTGTGAAAATGATATCACTGTGTTTAGAAAAATATGCACTCTATGTCACTCATGACAAAATAAATTATTATTAGAAGTTAGTAAACTGTGACGGAAAATGCAAAAAAAAAAAACGAGAACACCACGGATAATGCTCGAATGTTATATTGCCACAAAAGCTTTTACATCACTTTTCATTTTGCCAGTAGTGATGTGGCCTCGTGTGATGGCTGCACTGTTCCCCCTCCACCACAGTGTCCCTGCCATAGATCTTATATGTAAATGGAAAGCAAAAAACATGAGACTTGAAAACGCAAGTTAAGGGGGAGGGAGGGGCGTAACCACACAGAAATGAAATTTGATTCCACTACCACTACGCGTAATGTGTTAGTCTTATGTGTGATCCCTGTCTGCCTGTTTGTGTCAGAGTGACAGGTGTTTGTTTTGGGTGTTGAACTTTATTCTTTAATTTTATATTATCTTCTTATTTAGACAATAATTATGCCAAAGTGTCAATGTAAGCTTATGGAGGAGTATTCAAAAGAGTGGAAATATATTAAAAAGGGACGATATGAAAGTCAAGCCAAGTGCACAGTTTGCAATTATGTTTTTAAGTATTGGTCATGGTGGACATTCAGACATAAAACAACACATCATATCAGTGAACATAGGAAAAGACTCAGTGCCCCAAGTAGATTTCTAGGTTAGATTTCAATAACAGTTTCCGACTTAAGTTTCTGGACTCCTCTTTAGAGCTAGAGGGTATCCCCCCCCCCTCCCAAAAAAAAAAAACGTCCTTGAAAGTGTCCCGTTTTATTTTTTTTGCATTACTGTGTTACACTAGCCAAAATGACTTAGTTGACTTACCAAAGGGTTTAGCTGATAATAGATTTAACTTTAATACAAACTTATCAGGACTTCTCCGGATAAAACATGTAAAAGGTAATCGCTGGTATATATATTTTAGCATCCTGATGAAGTGTACAAAAATAATATCTTAAATTTGGTTAGTAGCAATGCATCAGCATTGGAGTTGAAGCACTAAGTATTTAATTTAATAATTTTAGTGTCCCTGAGTTCTTCTTGCACAAAAATTAAAAAAGTATTGAAAATTAAAAAATATAATTTGTTAAAATTTTAAAATGCTTTCAGCTAAGTAAGCTATAGAACTTGACTTAATGTTGAAAAATTTATTAAATTAGTCTCACAAAATAAAAATAAGAATATTTTAAATCATTAAATGATTATTTTATTTATTTTAAAATAGATAAATATGTAAGCATCGTAAATTTGTTACGGTAGTGAAGAGAAAGCTTTTTACTGTTAAGTACAAAATACAGAAACCTCTTCCAGTTCCGGTTTTATTTACTAAGGAGGACGTTGAGGTTGAGGTCAATCACGTCTCATTATAAAAAATGTTTAGAATAGCCTTAAGAGCCAGTACGTCCCTTCATAATGCAGCTAGACAATGTTTAAAGGTACAAGCAGGAGGTGAGTTGTTTTTAAGTAAATTGGGCTGTTTTTTTAATAGATAAGATTCTTGTTTACAACTGTTCACTGATCACCTTTAGTTTTAGTTAGTACTATACTGAACTGACTATATAGACATAGACTATAGTAGTAGCAGTGTTAGTTAGCAATTCAGTTTCAGTCTAACTTAAACTAACTACAACTCAAACTTTTGAGTCAAACATTTTAATTTCAAACAAGATTTACGTGGCCATACTAGTACTACTTGTCAGTGGTAGGAGGCTTTTTTTTATCATTAGGCTTAAACTTAAGTCAAGTCTTAAGTCAATTAGTTAGTGATTTTTTTCATATTTATTTATACTTTTTCCTTAGGCAGTGTCTACACGTCCGGCACACACGCCCTATTTGTCTAGCGACCAAGTCACATGACCGCTGGAAGAATACTTTATCGAGATATTCGTTCGGCTACCAAGTCACATGACCGCCGTAACAAAGTGGCGCGAGATATTGTCCGTCAGCCTTGTCCCATGACCGCAAATGATTCAAAACTATTGTTAATTTTAAAATCTATTTTCTACCAAGTAATTTAATGAGTATCTTGCAAACACATAATAGAAAAAAATACTTGGGTAAATTACCAAAACAAAGTGGGGGTTAAGCAATAATTTAATAATGCATTCTAGAAGGAAGCAATGCTGAGAGGGAGAGAGAAATACGGTAATAAAAATATGAATGCTAAAAAATAATAGTGAGGGTGATAAATAATTAAGTTTAAGGTGGGGAGGCCATAATAGTAGTAGTAATAGTGCTACTATTTAGTATATAGGCCGACTAGTTTAATATTAAAAAACCACAGTATGTATCTCAGAGCATTTGACATTTGAATATATTAACATGTTCAGCTTTTATTTATTATCTAGGTTAGGACCAATATAATAATATGTACACTATATCGGAATATCAAATGCAATTCAACTATTTTGCCGGCGACCTCTTGTCACATGACCTGCCCTGTCAGAATAATAATGCCTACTAGTCGTCCGGCAGTCATGTGACATGCTTGCCGGACACATATCTCCCACACTATTTGTCCGGCCCGCCAGACGTGTAGACACTTTGTTTTCCTTAAATGTTATTTATCAAGTGATATAAGAGTTCATTTATGCCTAGCATTAAGTTGTGGTTCTGGAGATTAGTTTAAGTTTAGTTACGTCAATGATCATAACAGTACTCTTTTAACTCGGCCAACATGGCTTTTTATCAATTTCTTTTTAAAGCTGTCTGCAGAATCTTTTGGTTCAGATCACTTTGGGTATTTAATAGTAATAGTCCCAGCGTTGTCATTGTCAACCTCAGTGCTGTCATGGCTGGGAAGTAACTTTTGGTACCAAGTATGGCATTCTAAAGGTTTGGCATACTTGCATAGTTTCTTTTTCTTAATTTTTCATTGCAAAACCCTTTGGTCAAAGATACTATGTGTCCTACAAAGGAGTTTGATCTGGACAGCTTCCAGCTTTTGTTAAGATGGGCTAATACAAGTAATTTTCCATCACTTGAAACATCATATTCATATTCAATTGAATACTCAACAATATCACTAGGCCTACTTTAAAATTCAAAAGATTTTGATCTTGTTTAAGATGTTCAGGTTAAGAAATCATTAAATTTCAGCATATCATATGACTGATTTGCTTTTCTGATCCAAGCATTGATTTCCTTTTTACAATTGCTGTCTATTGTGACATTGTCCTGTGTCCCAAGGTAGGCTTACTCAAACTTGAAACTATGCTACATTCTCATCTTTGGTTTGTCAATGACTATACTCCTCATTCATGTTTCTTCCAAATTATTAAATCATTTTTAGAAATTCATTGTGGATTTTTGGTAAACTTTTCAACCAGGTCATGTTCTGGATTTCTGTGATATATAATTAACTTTATTTATCTTTAAAAATTTGAATTATGGGTTAATGCTTCCAAAATATTTTTCCCAGCCTATATCCTTCAAAAAAATATCTCTTTTTAGCAATTACAGCTGTGCGCAATAGTCATGGTCACCAGGAAACTGATGAGGAGTTTGACAACAGATATGTGAAACATTTTGAGCGTACTGATATAGATGGATGGGAAATCAGAAAGGCAATGAACGATCTTTCTGTGAGTGTATTTTGTACTAGGGGTGTGCCGGATCCGTTTTTTCCAACCGGATCCGGATCCGGATTTTCTTATGCGAAATCCGCCGGATCCGGATTCCGGTTTCTCCCGGATTCCGGATTTTGGTACTATTGGTAGATACTTCGGTAAGTCAAGGTGGACTACTACTTTTTGTGTATGGGAATTCGCAATCGGCGCCAAAAAATCCGAGTTTTTAATTTTCCGATGTGTGTGTCTATTTATTATTAAATTAGTACTTTCGATATATATTTGAGTTCCGTTCCATTTGGATAAGTGTCTTACGAGAGACGCCATGTTTCTACGCGTTCGCAGCAGGTTATGCAGCTCGCTCAACCTAATTTCGCCATGGGGTTGGCCACGCCCCCCTTTTTAATGGCGGAAGTTGACGATACTTAGGAAATATTAATTTATTATCACTATTTACATCAAAATAATTGATAACTTGTGTTTCAGAATGCATTTAAAGACATTTAAACTGGAATGTTTTAATTTGAGCTTTAACAACCCGGTAGAATCCATATTATAAATGATCAGAATTTACCGTGTGCAACACGTTGTCATTGGCAACCATTCACAGCCACTTGCATAACTGTATCGTAGTACTACCTCAGAGTTTCATTCATAAGAGTTTGCCGTGTGCAAAAACTATTAAACCATTGGTCAGGGAAAGCTTTAATTAATTATTCATGTGCCAAAGTTGAAAGTTTAAACTAAGTCTAAACAGTATTTTAGTGATAAGGCAGGGAATGCGTTGCCTTATATAAACTATATAGTCATTGCGCATGACGGGATTGGTGGAATGAGATCACAGAATGTGGAGATGCAGTCCATGTTAAAAAATGACAAACCAAGTCGTACTTTAAAAATTCATAACTTTAAAACTACAACAGCTAAAAATATGATTTTGGTGTTATAATTCTTTAAAAAATTACATCTTTTCAACTATGCCATTGGTTTATTTTTACAAAAAGTTTAAATTTTCTTATCAAAGTCCCTACACTATTGGCCACTATTAGCGGTGCTGACTCTAGCCTCTGGTATGTACGGAATATTAAACATTAAACAAGCTCAACGCTCGAAACAATCGATTAATGTATCGTGATCGTGTGAAATTCGGGAAAGAGAATTACTTTTATTTCAGATTATGATCCGGTGAGTCACAAAATCTGGCAAATTCCGAAATCCGGTATATTCCGGATTCCGGAATCCGGTTGTTCCGGATACATGTAAATCCGGCGGAACCGGATTTCACCGGATAGTGCAAAATCCGGCGGAACCGGATTCCGGACCGGGGTCCGGCACACCCCTATTTTGTACTAATTTATATTTATGAATGTTTAGACTAGAATGATCGTAACAAAAGCTGTTTGTATTTTTCTTGTTGGGCTTTGGAGTTGAGCTAGAATTTGAACATGTAATATTCTGTGGCTTCCATCAAATCTAAACTATTAATGAAAAGTGTTACAGTTTATTTAGGTATTAAAATAGAAAAAATACAGGGACAAGATGCTATTTACTCATGTCCAATAATTTAATTACCTAGCTAAAATTTGAGTGGGTGGGGGGGGGTATTTTAATATTTAATATCGACTATATTGTGGTGTTGTAATATTATTAATCTGAATTAGTTAAAATCTTTACACATTTTAAGCAATTATTTATACATGCTTTGTTGAAAATCATTGAAATACTTTTTCTGAAATGAATTAGTTATTATGGGACATTTTCATTTTACCATTAAAAGAACATACTTTTTTTTTTATAAAAAAAATTTTTGCCTTTTCCTTGTTGCTATTTTCACATCGATAAAGATATTCTGTAATATTATATGCAATTTTTAAGGGTGAGGATCTTGTGCCAGAGCCACGCATCATTATTGCTGCATTGAAAGCTTGCAGGCGTGTGAATGATTATGCCTTGGCTGTTAGGTATCTGGAATCTGTGCAGGTATTGGCTTGTTTTTTTTATTTATTTGTATTTGTGTATACATTATTTCTAATTGGTGGAATAGAAATTTTAAAACAGAAGGTTACTTAAAATTAGTAGGGGAAGTGTGGTAAATATGTTCATAACTTTGTGTTTTATTGTTCTCTTCCTATTAAGTGGAAGTGTGGTGGTGAAAAGAAGAAGATCTGGCCATGGTTGTTGCAGGAAATCAAACCTACACTTGATGAGCTGGGTGTCCTCACACCTGAGGAGATGGGTTATGATAAACCAGAGTTGGCACTTAAGAGTGTATATGACATGTAGAGTTTTAGCTTGTGACAGGTGAGCCAATAATTTCCCCATAATTTAAACCATTTTTAGAAGCTTTGAAGAAGATATAATAGCTAAAATATTGAAATTTTTTAATATATATTAAAATTCAGTTTTGTTATTTTCATTTTCTAAAGTTTGATTGTTTAACTCATTCCCGACGGTTGCGACTAAATGCGTCCTGGGGGGGGGGTTCCTACTGATGCGTCCCGGCGCATAGCGACACACCTCTCTTATTTTTAGTTAAAAATAGCAATGAAATCTCGCACCCCTCGAGACTTCCGGCTATGGCGTGATTTCTGCGTGATTTTAATTTAGAAACCGGAAGTTTTTATCTTGTTTCACTTTAAAACTACGTGTGCTTTAGTACGGCGCGTCTATATGTACCATGTGTTCGTCCGAGGTGCCGAAAATCGATTTTTTTGGCCATTGTTCGTTATTTTTCCCCCGCTAATGTTATATTTATATTAAACCTTATTCATTTTTTGTTGCATTTGTTCTTAATTCATTAACATTAAATAATATTTAGCAACTTAAAAAAATATTTTAAAAATATAAATCAATTTCAAAATCTAATGTTATATTTATATTAAACCTTATTCATTTTTTGTTGCATTTGTTCTTAATTCATTAACATTAAATAATATTTAGCAACTTAAAAAAATATTTTAAAAATATAAATCAATTTCAAAACTGAGTTGCTTCACTTTTCTCAGGAAAATAAATTAAGTCCGGAAGCACCGCTGCCGGAGGGAATGAGTTAACAGACTCCTGCCTAAGTAAAGGGGCATAATTTTTTTTTAAATGTATACCGGTTTGTTTTTTAAATAAAAAAAAAAAAGAAAGAAATATAAAGCATGCAATATCATTGTTATTTAACTTTTATTAAATATAAGAATGAATAAAATGTTAAAAGCAGGATAAAATAAAAAAAGTTTTTTTTCAGAGAATAACTTTTTAATTGTAATGTCTGAAAATGACCATTGCTGATTTTAAAAATTCACAGATGGTCATCTTAGCCCGCTAGTATTATTATCTACAGATGTTATATTGATTTTTATAGCTTGTTTCAGATATATTTTCACCTATAACATAACTACCGGTATTACTTTCTACATGTCAATAAATTCTATTGTTTCATCATGTAAACTTGCTAATATAGAAAGATTAGAGCTTCATGCCAATGAGCAAAAATAATTTAGAATATCTTTCAATAATTAAGTCTGAGGTTGAGCATCTGTACATTTTAACATACGAAGTGGCTATTCGTACTAGGGTACCAGAAGTGAGAGGTTGGGATTAAAAAACTATTTAAAATATTCCTGTTGGATTTATAAGACAAAATGATGTATCAAATGAAAGATAATTGAATGGATTATATGTTTGTAAACTTACTTCTTCAGTTTAACTTAAATAAACTACCAAAAGCGACATCCGAATAGCATTGGTCTAATGCAACGGTTCTCAACCTGTGGGTCGCCTAAGACCATTGGAAAACACACATTTCCGTTGCTGATGGTCTTAGAAACCGATTGATTTCGTCCGGCTAAAAAACCAAACATATCAGAAATTTTCATTATGATTGGAGACGAATTTGTTACGAAACTGAGTGCAATTTCCGTATCTAACGACACTGTCCGCAGAAGAGCAGATGACATGTCTGTTGGTATTCTTGATCAGGTAATCCAGGAAATTAAATCTGCTCCACTTCCAATATTAGTATCCAGCTAGCTTGATGAATCTACAGATGTTGCAAACTGTTCACAGTTACAAGATAACGTGAGATATATTAATGATGGTGACTTTAATATGAGTTTCTTTTTTGCAAACCTCGTGAAACAACAACTACTACATGTGATGTATTTGACTCACTTGTTTTATTTCTGAAAGATCATAAGATCTCTTGAAAAAGGTTTGGGTTGTTTGCAAAGATGGTGCTCCAGCTATGCTAGTATGTTTACCATAAGATCTCTTGGGAAAGGTGTTGGGGTGTTTGGATAGATGGTGCTCGAGCTATGCTAGGATGTCGATCTGGATTCAACGTTTAATACTGAATGAGTCACAAAAAGTCATCGGAATTTACTGATTGATTAATCGGTAAATATTAGCAACGAAGACGCTGTCAAAGGAGTTAAAAGAAGTGACGAAAAGCGCCGTAAGTTCTGTCAATTTTGTAAAGGCGAGCACTTTAAACAGTCGACTGTGCAACGAGTTGATGCGTCGAACAAAGCTCTGCTATTTCACACTGAAATGTGGTGGTTGTTGAAAAGAACAATTTTAAAACGTGTTTTTGAGCTTGGCGATGAACTCAAAACTTTTTAAAATAAGACCGCAGCTCAAAGCTCTTTTAGTGATAAAAGTGAACTGCAGAAAATAGCTTACTTGGTTGACATCTTTGCCATCTCATCTTAAATGAGTTAAATTTATCACTGCAAGGACCAAATGCAACAGCCCTCAACTTGCCTAAAAAGATGCGATCATTTAAATTTTAATTTTAACTTTGGCAAAAAGGATCTGGTAAGTAAGAAACAATCTTAACCTTTGCACTGACTTGGGCTTTTATGCATACTGTCACAAAATGAAGCAAAGTAGTTTACTGTTGTAATATTAAGACTTTTACCCATGCTACACTATGCTTCAAGACAAAATTTCATTTATTTGTAAACAGAAATTAATATTTCCCAAATATTGTTTTTTGTGATTAATCTATATGTTTTAATTATTTTCAATTTTTAACAATGAAAATGAATCCTGCATATCAGATTCATTACATTACGATTCATAACAGAAGCAAAATTACAGTTATGAAATAGCAACGAAAATAATGTTATGGTTGGGGGTCGCCACATCATGAGGAACCTGTATATAGGGGTCGCGGCATTAGAAAGGTTGAGAACCACTGGTCTAATGGGAACCGGGTGCGAATGGCGGTGCTGCCCGTCCGGGGCCATTTTGATTAAATGCTGTTCAGATGTCATTTTTGGTAGGAATAGTCGCAGCCTTTAACATATTCATTGCCCACCTCCTGCATAAACATTTTATTGTCAGATTAACAGGCCTCTTCAACCATAGGATCATTACTATAAGTGTCATCTTTCGATTTAAAAAAAAATACTTTTAGCATTTAAGTTTCCTTATAGTCTTGTCACAGGTTGGAAATCTTGTAAATTGAAATTAAGATTTATTAAGAACGACAGTCTCAAGTGAACAGCCATGAAACTTTTGCATTGTCTGAGAAACAATTGTGTTATTTCTCAAGCCCATACCTCAGATAAATAGGGAGGGTGCTAATAGGTGTGGGTAGCTTGTTGGGGTATGGTCAGATGGTGTCCAAAAGAAAATTTGGAAAAGTATGGGGCAGTTTAAAAAAGAACCATCTTTGCAGAGACATGTTAGATCCACTAGTGAATATATAAACTAATACTAAATAGGGTATCAGTTTGTTAGTGTCTTAATTTCTAACAATGTGTTTAAAAATTTGTACTGTTTTATTTTACAGATTACCTGACCAAAAAGTCCTTTTCCTACAAAATGAAGCACATATATTTTTTTTTAAACTGTTGTTACATTAGCTGGCTAGAATTGATTGTGTTGAGCCAGGGGTCTTGTGTGGTGCAAGAGATACAAATGAAACAGGAATCATTCTTTGCTTGTGCTTGATTTTTTTCTTCTAAATAAATATTGCTTTATGTTAAAGTAATTGTTCATTGTTACCACTTTGTTATGAAGGCTAATTTATTTGATTATTGTAACATCCATACAGCATTAAAATAAGATGCTTTCAGTTTTAAATATGTTACAAGCCGTATTTGTTTGTGTTGTCTGTCAAACATTTGTTTCATTTGGTACTACTCTACTTAAGCCTTGAGAATTACTGTAAAAAAGGGGGAAAAGTTGGAAATTGTTTAAAGTAGTTTCCAGAGTCAGTGTTTACCATAACACTACAATTAGATATTTGCGCTCCTCTTGATTCTTGATAAATCTTTTTCTTTTCTTTTTGTTGTGAGTGAGTAGCCATTCTTTATAAATTATATCTGTCCAGAAAATATTTGGGAGCCACCTGCATTTTAAATTGGTATTTAAAATTAAAAAAAAAAAAGTTGCAGATTGCCAACCATTGATTTTGAAACCAGTATTTTTTGTTTCAATAGCTGTCTTTGGTTCTCTGGTTAAAATGAACCTGTCTGAGGTTAGGGGTAAAAAAAAAAAAAAAAACAATATTCTATATAAATAGATCACCTATTAGAAAGTACTTAACTTTCTGTTGGTTTGTAGGCAACCTCTTTGAAGTTACTGGCTATTTCTTATTACCGTTAGCTTTTTCTCTTCTAACATTTAAAGTTAAAGGTAGGTATATTGTTTTAAGTGAAAATTTAAAAAAAAATTTATTCTGTCAATATTCCCTAGTAATCCTAGAAGTAAATATGGTCTGAAAAAGGGGGGGGAGGGAGAAATTAACGAGATCACTTTCTTTAAATATAACTTTAATAATTCTTCTAATTCTTCAGTTACACCAGGGTTCTCAACTCAATCAGTATTCTGATTCTTCAAAGGTTATTTAAAGTTAAAGGTAGGTATATTGTTTTAAGTGAAAATTTAAAAAAAAAATTATTCTGTCAATATTCCCTAGTAATCCTAGAAGTAAATATGGTCTGAAAAAGGGGGGGGGGGAGAAATTAACGAGATCACTTTCTTTAAATATAACTTTAATAATTCTTCTAATTCTTCAGTTACACCAGGGTTCTCAACTCAATCAGTATTCTGATTCTTCAAAGGTTTTTTGGAGAGTTGTGGAACGCAATTCGCTGTACTAATTAACTGAGACTTTCATTACAATCATATCAGTCTGTGATAAGTGCTTTATAAAAAAACACAAATATACATTTACTCATCTACATTGAAGTCGGTACTAGTGATAGAGTGAAGAACAAAATCTAACTTATTGTGACATTTCAACTTAATTGTGTCATGTCTGATAAGCTTTCATGATGTCATCCCAAGAAAATAAAATATAAACTTGCTTTTTTTTTTTTAAAAATAATACCATAGCAAAGTTTTGAATATCAAAGTATATGTTTTAGGACAGGAATATTGTTATTGTAGAGAGAAATGTTAAAGGTACTTAATTATTTGAATAACGGTATATAAGAATACAACAATTTACAAGGATAAGGGCCGTTTTCAAATAGCATCTAACATATTATAATTTATACTCTCAAACGGCATTGTTGGAGGCAGTTAAAATGTCAGGCTGAATTATTATCTTTAAAAGAAAAAAAACAAGTTTAATCATGTTAAGTGAAAGCATATTGGAGAATTGATCACATACACAGGGAAACAATTACTAAAAAAAATGATGGGGTTCGTCCATGAATTACGTCAACAAAATAAAGGAGGGGGTTTGGAAATGTTTGACAGTTGTTGACAAGGGGAGGGGGGAAGTTTAGATTAGTTGACGTCAACAATCAAGTTTTTTTCTATTAGAATTTTTATTTTAAAAATTGACTTCTACTCACATTAATTTAAACAATTTAATGAGTGAAAATAGTCTGATATGTTTAGGCTTTTAAAAATACAATAGTTCTTGAATGTGTGTCTGTCTGTGCACTGCAGATGGCTGGTCAGAATGTTAACACACTTTGTTAGGGCAAGAGAAGTCAAAAGTTGGCCTCTTTTCACCTGTCGTTTTTCTCTTAATCCGCTCCCTAGAATGATTAACACATCATTGTACACGGTGTTCAATTTAAAAAAAAAAAAAAGCACCAACTCATCGGTGTTCAATAACAACTCGACCAACTCAAAGACAGAGAGAGAGCTTATGGCAACTATTGCTCACTCCGACAATACTTCTATTTTATGTGCTGAATGGTTAGATAAGGATGATGTTGACTTGTCTGGTATATCAGTTCTTCAAAATGATAAATCAGCTACTATTACACTATGCCCATCAGGGGCGTGATTTCACGTTTTTTCAGGGGAAGGGAGGGGGGGTGGGGCAAAACCAAAACTTGGTCGTCTTGTTGAGTTTTTTTTATATTACTGGAGGTGCCACAGTACATAGCAATTTAAATAAATCGGGGTGGGGGGGGGGCATGCCCTACTCAAATGAAGTCCCTGATGCCAATTATTACGATACAGTACAGCGACACCTGGCTACTCCATGGGAAGATGATAGCAGCTAGAAACTACACAATAATAATATTTATACTTCCACAAACAATGATATTTAGTCCTTAACAACCTTTTCATCGATTCTGCCGTATAAAATTTGGTTACCGGAAATTTGATCGAAAGAAATTTCGTCGACGGTAAATTGATCGAACGGAAATTTGGTCGAATCTTTTTTTACGTTCGCACGTTGAAATTTTCGTCAAATTTCTTTTTGAACGCACTATACTATTTAGTAAAACAAAATAATTCATTAAAAAAGAAATTTGATGCAAAATTGTTACGTAAAAATTGAAAAGAAGATTCGACCAAATTTCCGTTCGATCATATTACCGTCGACCAATTTACCGTCGACGAAATTTCTTTCGATCAAATTTCCGGATACGATAT